GTTGTTGGTCAATGTTTTAAAAATATTATGTGCGAATGCTCATATCTTGTAGTGCAACTACAAGATCAATTTTGCTTTGCATTGTTGTTGGTCAATGTTTTAAAAATATTATGTGCGAATGCTCATATTTAATAGTGATAAAATATATTTCCACATCACAGCAGAACTACCTAAGTATCTGCACTGATGAATTTTATGTTAACGGAGAGTAACAAAGATAGTATTTGTATTCCTAATGTACCCTCATAAGTTTTTCATATTTCTATAGTATCATTCTCATACGCTTTTACTTTATTTTCAGAGGCGGTCTCGGTCCCTGCCCACCAGCCATCATGTGTGACGATGAGGACATGTGCGCCCTTGTGGTTGACAATGGCTCCGGCATGGTCAAGGGAGGATTCGCCGGAGACGACGCCCCTCGGTCGGTCTTCCCCTCCATCGTCGGCCGCGCTCGTCACCAGGCCGTGATGGTCGGTATGGGTCAGAAGGACGCCTACGTCGGCGATGAGGCCCAGAGTAAGCGAGGTGTCTTGACCCTTAAGTATCCCATCGAACACGGTATCATCACCAACTGGGATGACATGGAGAAAGTTTGGCATCACACCTTCTACAACGAACTTCGAGTAGCTCCCGAAGAGTCCCCTGTCCTCCTCACTGAGGCTCCTCTCAACCCCAAGGCCAACCGTGAGAAGATGACTCAGATCATGTTTGAGGTCTTCAACACACCCGCCATGTATGTGTGTATCCAGGCTGTCCTGTCCCTGTACGCCTCTGGTCGTACTACAGGTCTTGTCTGTGACTCTGGTGATGGTGTGTCTCACATGGTCCCTGTATACGAAGGTTATTGCCTTCCCCATGCCATCCTTCGCCTCGACTTGGCCGGTCGTGACTTGACTGCTTACATGATGAAGATCATGACTGAGCGCGGTTATTCCTTCACTACCACCGCTGAACGTGAAATCGTCCGTGACATCAAGGAGAAGCTCTGCTATATCGCCCTTGACTTCGAGAGTGAGATGAATGTTGCTGCTGCTTCAGCTTCCCTGGACAAGTCATACGAACTTCCCGACGGTCAGGTCATCACCATCGGCAACGAGCGCTTCCGTTGCCCCGAGTCTCTGTTCCAGCCTTCCTTCCTGGGTATGGAATCTGCAGGTATTCATGAAACCGTCCACAGCTCCATCATGAGGTGCGATATTGATCTGAGGAAGGATCTGTTCGCCAACACAGTCATGTCTGGAGGTTCCACCATGTACCCAGGTATCGCTGACCGCATGCAGAAGGAAATCACTGCCCTTGCTCCTTCCACCATCAAGATCAAGATCATCGCTCCTCCCGAGCGCAAATACTCCGTGTGGATCGGCGGTTCCATCCTGGCCTCTCTGTCCACCTTCCAGCAGATGTGGATCACCAAGGATGAGTATGAGGAATCCGGCCCCGGCATTGTCCACCGTAAATGCTTCTAAATTATATATAATCATATGAAACTATCTAATGAAAAGAAATATTTTGCAATAAAAGTTGCTGCAGGATTCGCTTTAATCAATAACCTTTATATAAAAATATGCATACGTACATACATATATATGTATATAAATGTGTGTATAAAATATATAATGTATATATAAATATATCTATATATGCATATATATACATATATATGTATGTACATACATATATACATATATAAGTATGTATATATACCACGTCAAGGTATACTCCCAGTGCAGAATATATATATTATATGTTACAGATACATATATGTGTGTGTGTGTGTGAAGTGTACATGTAAAGACACAAGTATATAGGCATGTGTGTATATATAGAAAGATATACATACGTGAGTGCATCTGTGTGTGTATAGTGTACACAGATGTGCACGTGTTTATTTATTCGTTCATTCATTCGACTATTAATTTTCCACTGACTACGTACATACATGTAAACAACATCGATGTCAGTACGAATTATATATACATTGTACATATGAATGCATACTGTATGTATATGTGCGCAGGTTTCTTTATATATTCATAATTTGCAAATTTGTTTATAAGCTTCGGTGTTATAAATCTCATGTACATATATTCCATCACTTATACATGCTTACACATATATTCAGCTTAGTCAAATATATATATGTGTGTGTGTGTGTGTGTGTGTGTGTGTATAATCTACATTAGGTAAGAATGCAACCGAGGCATTGCTGTATTTTTTGTTTCTTAATAGTTAAAATATTCCTCCACTTGCTTTGTTTTTAGCGGCCAACAGGTTCTGTATTACTATTAGAAAGATAAAATTTCGACCGTGGTGATATTCTCTTTTAAATTAGGGTTTTAAAAATTAAATAATCTAATTTTAGTAGACCTGCCCGGGTTCCATCTTCATTTTTTCCTGCGTTTCCTCCTATATTATGTTTTTTTTACACACACACAAATCTATCAATTCATATATCTATATGTACATATATGCCTGTATATATATACATACATTATATATATACATATATATATACATCTGTATGATATATATATACATTATATGTATATATATATAATATATATGCATATAGATATGTATATATATATATATATATATATATATATATATATTTTATATATATGTATATACATATCTATATGTATATATATTATATATATATACATATTAATTTATATATATATATATATATATGTATATATATATATATATATATATATATATATATGTATATATATATTATATATACATATATATGCATATATATACATATATATGTATATTTATATATATATTATATATATGTTTATATATGGGTGTGTGTATATATACAGACATATATGTACACATACTTATAGATTTTTGTGTTACAAACATAATTCAGGAGGAAAAAATGGAAAAAACGAACATGGAAACCGGGCAGGTCCACTAAAATTCTTTGGCTGAGAGACATGGCACGCTGAACAGCCAGTATCACTTCATTTTGGGAAGAATGTTGTCATTATTTATGTTCTTTATATTTCAATTTGTTTCTTTTATTTACTTGTTCGGTACTTTAAAAAATGAATTTTAGAAAAAAGTTTTTGGCATAGTAACTTTTGTCGTACCTTCAACAGAATGTTTTCGTTTTTCACTTTGTAGGAAAATCCCCTTCACGCAACATGCTTGGATAATCAAACAGATTGATACAAATGCATTTATTGTTATATTCTTATTTTTAATATTAAGAAAAATCATACTGACGAGGAGTTTAGAAACACTTGCGGTGGACGATGCCGGGGCCGGACTCGTCATACTCCTCCTTGGTGATCCACATGGACTGGAAGGTGGACAGAGAGGCCAGGATGGAACCGCCGATCCACACGGAGTATTTACGCTCGGGAGGAGCAATGATCTTGATCTTGATGGTGGAAGGAGCCAAGTTTGTAATTTCCTTCTGCATGCGGTCAGCAATACCAGGGTACATGGTGGTACCACCAGACATGACGATGTTGGCGAACAGATCCTTCCTGATGTCAATGTCGCACCTCATGATGGAGTTGTGAACAGTTTCATGAACTCCAGCAGATTCCATACCCAGGAATGAAGGCTGGAAAAGAGCCTCGGGACAGCGGAAGCGCTCGTTACCGATGGTGATGACCTGGCCGTCGGGAAGTTCGTATGACTTATCGATAGAAGACGATGCGGCTGCAACGTTCATCTCACTCTCGAAGTCAAGGGCGATGTAACAAAGCTTCTCCTTGATGTCGCGGACGATTTCACGTTCAGCGGTGGTGGTGAAGGAGTAACCACGTTCAGTCATGATCTTCATCAGATAAGCGGTCAGGTCACGACCAGCAAGATCGAGACGAAGGATAGCATGAGGAAGGGCATAACCTTCGTATACAGGGACCATGTGAGTCACACCGTCACCAGAGTCGCAAACCTGACCAGTGGTACGACCAGAGGCATACAGGGAGAGCACAGCCTGAATAGCAACGTACATGGCGGGCATAGAGAAGGTCTCGAACATGATCTGAGTCATCTTCTCGCGGTTGGCCTTGGGGTTGAGGGGAGCCTCAGTGAGAAGTGTGGGGGACTCCTCAGGGGCAACACGGAGTTCGTTGTAGAAAGTGTGATGCCAAACCTTCTCCATGTCATCCCAGTTGGTGATGATACCGTGCTCGATGGGATACTTGAGAGTGAGGATACCTCTCTTGCTCTGGGCCTCATCGCCGACGTAGGCGTCCTTCTGACCCATACCGACCATCACACCCTGGTGACGAGGGCGGCCGACGATGGAGGGGAAGACGGCGCGAGGGGCGTCGTCTCCGGCGAAACCGGCCTTGCAGAGACCGGAGCCATTATCACATACAAGCGCACACTCTTCCTCGTCACACATGGTTGATGGTTGTTAGAGCCTGCAAGTAAAAGAGAACAAAATTAGTCTACGTTGCGTAACAACACTGCTTATTAATAAAAGCGCATTCATTATTCATATGTTATAAGCATGTATGCGAATATAACTTATACTAAGCGTGGGTGGTTGCTTTTTAGTAAGACTGTTAATGGGAACTGTTGTTCAAATATCTAGCATTAATGAATACGCTTGTACTTTGCGTCTTTATGAATTTCGTATTACTATTTTCATTTCTATTAGGATTCAACCATTTAAGGAATTAGTTTTATGAGTTACATTTATCCCAGATTCAGCCAAATTTTCCGTGATAAAAAAATAAGGTCAATCTACATATCGAAATGCACTATTCTACCACATGTATTCCATTCTGTAATCGTAAAAAAAGAGCTTTGTAATATAGACAGTTATGCTCCTTGCTCTTTTCCAGGAAGAAAATGTTTCCAGCGATAAAACGAAACACTCGCACAGGGATATACCACGAACACATTACGGATAGGACAGTCAGCGGAACACTTACAGAGGAGGACCGCCCAAAGCAGAGGCTGTAATCGACTACTTCGGCGTGGGGTGGTGGTCCCCTTATATACACTTCTCTGACACA